CCTTGGCATCTTTACTTTCATAATTCAGAATTAGAGCAGCTGGGCTTTTACAGTTGCTGAATCCCATTAGGAAGCAGGTGGCATATTATCTTGTTAAAGAGCCTTCTTACGGTGTCTGGGAGAAACAATATAGAAATTTGAGCTGTGCTTCAATTTGAGGGGACATCTGTCATTTACTTTCTGTCCATGTGTTTATTCACCTTACCGGGTAGACTTCAAGGGGAATGTATCACTATCTGGACCGGCTTAGAACTTTATCCTTATTAAGTCATCACTAGACCATGATGTGGTCCAGAATGTCTCCACCACTTTTATCTTAGTAGAATCTGTCACATTATGTTTTTAGTAATTGTTTTACAAAAAGCAGTGAAAAACACGAAGAGAATACACACAGGGCTTTCTTTAAAAAGAACTTCTAATAGATATTAAATAGATAGTGCTGCTGGGTTAAGCCTACTGTATGGTCAGAAATGCATTTCTCTCTCTTTTTAAATCATTTTTAAAATTTGTCATTTGCAGTTGATATACAAAGTTTTATTAATTTTAGGTGTATTAAATAACTTTCTGCATGATCATTCCAATAACTCTTGTATCTATCTGACACCATGCATAGTTACTAGAATGTTATTGGCTGTATTCTCTATGGTGTACTTTACATTCCCATGACTGTTCTGTGACAACCAGTTTGTATCTCTTAATTCCTTTACCTTTCTCATCTGCTCCCCAAAGCCCCTCCCATCTGGAAACCATCAAAATGTTCTTTGTATCTGAGTCCATTTTTGTTCTGCCTGTTCATTTATTTTGTTTTTTAGATTCAATTGTTGATAGATATGTATTTATCGACATTTTACGGTTCATATCTTTTATATAATTCCTCCTCCTCCTCCTCCTCCTCCTCCTCCTCCTCCTCCTCCTCCCCCTCCTCCTCCTCCTCTTCTTCTTCTTCTTCTTCTTGACCTTTTAACATTTCCTGTCATTCTAGTTTGGTGGCCATGAACTCCTTTAACTTCTTCTTGTCTGGGAAGCTCCGGAGATAAGTTGTGGCATCTGTGGAAAGCCCGAACTGAGCATCACACTCATGTACACAGCTGGGGTGTATGTGCAGAGCTGTTGAGATTTTATCTCTGCAAGAGAAGAGAAGCATTTTTTTAAATGACAAAAACATTAATCATTTATGGCCCATTGTTCAATATTTGATGCATGAGTACCATGCTTTTTTTTTTTTCTGTAAGGATGACAAAATCTCCCCACTATCAACCCAACAAGAATTTTGAGCTGAGAACCTCTTATCTGGTCTTTTTTTGTAATGAGCGTAACAAATTTGCATGAGAGTTGAAAGTCAGGCCCTATTTTTTAAAAAATTTTAAGTCATATACCATTCTGTAGTATTTCAGGACACAGAGCAGGTATTCTTGCTTTATACATGGTAGATATTCGATAAGGAATGCTGCTAAATCAAACTGGGTTTCAAATGGATCACACCATGTGTACGTTGAGATTGTGATAAATATATAAAATTTGGTGCCAATTTTTGGAGACCTGTGAGTTTCAAAAGGTCAGAATTGTATCATAAAAGTTAGATAGGAGACATTATTGGGATTTTTTTTTTTTTTTGATGATGAAGTTGTCAAAAATTTTAAATTATTTTCCCATGTGTTTCCCTTAAAAACAGCAGGTTACCACAGCTTCCTTGCATGTCACAGGACAGTTCAGGAGATCATTAATCAAACCACCCTTGATTTCTGCTTAAACCACTTCAACAACGGTTTATATTTAGAAAGCAACAAAGAGCATTAAAACAAAAACAATAAAATCAAAAGTTCCAGGACTAGTTTTGTGACACCAGAAAATGAAGAATTTTATAATTTGTAAATTAATGCAATAGATACATTTTCTAAATATAATTATTGTTTTATGAAAGGCAAGAGAAAGTCAAGGATTTTTAAACATGGTTTGAAGGATGCAATGATTCTGTATACTCTTAAAAAAGAGGTTAAAAAGGCACACATATACTGAATATAGATAAACCAAGTAGCTGAATATTTACTTAGGTCAGGAAGAAAAAATTTGGACATTTGGAGATTGAGTTTTTGTCTTACTAAATAAAAGGATGCACTTACATTTCTGATCATGTTAACTATATTAGAATTCATGAGAGTCCATGAGTGGTTTAACCTGACTGACACTATACTGAATTCAATATATACTTTTTTTCTTCTCCAACTTTAGAGATATGACAATAGATGTTGTAGTAAAATTCTTATATCTTTGAAACATTGTCACATTAAAAATGAATGAGATGTTATAGTTTTTTTCACTGACTTGCTGTAAGTTTTTATATTTCAGATGAAAGAAAAGGTGTCTGGTAAGATCTAATATCCAAAATATATAAAGAACTCATAAATCAATAGCAAAAAAACCAAACAGTCCAATTAAAAGTGGGTAGATGATCTAAATAGGCAGTTTTCTAAATAAAACATGCAGGTTTAACCTGACTGACATGAAAATATGCTCAGTATCATTAATCATCAGGTAAATGTAAACAAAATGATAATAAGATACCACCTCACATCTTTTAACATGGCTATTATCAAAAAGACAAGAAAAAACTGTTGGTGAGAATGTGGAGAAAAGGGAACCCTTGTGTAATGGGAATGTAGATTGGTACAGTCACTATAAAAAATAGTATAGTGTTTCCTAAAAATTAAATAGAACTTCCATATATTTCAGCAATTCCACTTCTGGATATTTATGCAAAAAAAAAAAAAAAAAAGCTAATTCAAAAAGAAATATGTTGATCGCAGCATTATTTTCAATAGCCAAGACATGGAAACAACCTAGTGTCCATCAGTGAATGAATGGATAACGATGTGGTACATACATACAATGAAATGTATGGATGGACCTTGAGGGCATTATTCTAAGTGAAATAATTCAGACAGAGAAAGACAAATACCATGTGATCTCACGTATATCTGGAATCTAAAAAAAATGAAACCAAACAAACAAGAAAAAATTAATTCATAGATACAGAGAGCAGACTGGTGGTTGATAGCAGCAGGGCATGGGGATAATAGAAAGGGGTCAAAAAGTATAAATATCTAATTATAAAATAAATAATATATGCATAACCAATGGACATAGACAACAAGGCTGTGGTTAAGGAGGTTCGGGAGGAGGGTGTCAATGGGGGAAAAGGAGAAACATCTGTAACAAAAATAAATTAATAAAATAAATAAAGAAATAAGTCATGAGTATATAATGTACAGAATGGTGACTGCAATTAATAATATTGTAGTTCATGTTTGAAAGTTGCAAAGAGAGTAGATTTTAAAAGTTCTCATCACAGGGAAAAAAAGTGTAATTATGTATGGTGAGAGATGTCAACTAGATTTATTGTGGTGATCATATTGCAATATATACAAATATTGAATCATTACATGGGATGCCTGAAATTAAGGTCATATGCCATTTATATTTCAATAAAAAGAAACTAAATATCATTAACTTTATATATGTTTAATTGATAAAACTTAAAGGTTATATTTATGTTAAATATGGTCATACAACTTTAAATATGGTAATACAATTTTAAATTTGGTCATACAGCTTTAGATTTGAGGTATTATCTCTGAACAGATTGGAAATACTCTCCTGTTTTCTGGCTTCTATTGGTGCATTTGAAAGGTGAACACTGGCTAATTCTTAGTGGGGGCATGTAAGTGTACTGAGAGCTTTGCATTGGGTCACTGATGAATGGGGAACTTGAAACCAAGGTGTCCGGTGTGGTATCAATACTGATCGTGATAATTTCCAAACTGTACCTTTGACAGTGAATAGTTGCCAAGAAATGGATGAACAGGTCCTCATTCTAATGTGAGAAAGATATTACATGTTTACCCAGGTAGTGAATGAGATACAGTGCTGTGGAACCCTGAACTTTTGGGAGGCATTTTGCCCCACACTTTGAGGAGACTTGGCTCATACACCATGCTCAGTATCATTTGCAGTTGTACATCTACTTCAATATCAAATTCTGTTTTCAATCAACTTAATTGGTAAATTAGAGCTAAATCATCATAGATAATTGACTGGTGATTTACCTAATATTATATTCACATTAAGCTTTTGTATGAGTGTAACAAAGACATGTGTTGCCCAATATCAATGGAAATAAAAGTCTGCCCTGAAATATACATCTTGGGAACGTGGTGGGAGTGTAGGCTTCGCAGGCAAATAGCATCAGGTACCATCTTCCTAGCAGGCCCTACACTTTTGCTTTAAATCCTTCAAGCCCTTGACGGCGTGATCATGCCCTTCTCTCCCGTCGCCGCCCACCGCCTTGAACGTACAGTTTGTCCACAGTCTCCCTGTCTTGCTTCTGATGATAGCAGTTTCAGGAAAGTGTGTTATTGACTCATAGGCACTAAGGTATGTTTGATATTTGAATTTTAATAGATTGCAAGCCAAGGAATAAACTTTTCTGACATGTAAGAAATACATAATTTTTAGGAGTAGGGTAATTTAAAACCTCTGAAAAAACTGGTCATTTGTCACCTACTGTATAAGTGGGTCAAGTTGACTAAGAGTGATTGGAAGAAATTCAGAAATATTTTTTCAAAGTGTGTATTATGTATAAATACATATATTTTCATCCATATCTATAAGTACATATGCTTTCAGGAAATCTTTAGAGAGAACGGGATTAATAGGTGATAAATTGGAGGACCAAAGTTGTCATGTTTATGAATCGGGCTTTGATGTGTTATAATAATTTAATAAAGACTGTCTCAGAAGCTACTGAAAAAATAAGATGTAAGAACAAAATTCTTAGAAATTCAAATACACTAATAATTTATGATGAAATAAAACAAACATTTGATTCAATAAATAGTTAGAAAATAGCCTGATGAATGATTTTGATCATCGATCTTCATCTGTTGTGCATATTCTTATAATTTAACGATTAAGCTTCTTTTTTTTTCTTTCTCCCGCCTCAGTGTTAAAGAACCCGGTGTGCAAACTGTATCGATTTCCCACGTCCGACAATAAGTGGATGCGAATCAGGGAGCAGATGTCTGAGAGTGTCCTTTCTTTCCACATTCCTAAGGAACTGATCGCGCTGCACATAAAAGAAGATTTGTGTAGGTAAGAGAAAAGAATTTATGATTGTCTCTTGCATTAATTATTTTTTTAATAAAACATTTATTCTTAAAGTATAACAACAAAATTCTACATTTGCACTGTCCAAGTGTGGTGGCCATTAGCTCTCTGTGGCTGTTAGTCACTTACGATGTAACTAATCCAATTTGAGATGTTATGTAACTATAAAATACGCCCCGATGTTGAGTTCTTAGCACCCAAACAAACAAGAGATTGATTTTGTCATTGGGATGGAATAGAAATATTATTAATGTCACCTGCTGTATTTTACTTTTTGAGTATGACTACTAGCAAAATTTGAGTAACGTATGTGACTCTCCTTTGTGGTGTGCATTATATTTCTATTAAATAGCTTGAAGTCTAGCCAGTCACCTGAGCCTCGACCTTGCTAATACTCTCTGCGTCTTTACCTCATCTGTTTTTGGTTAGTTTCTGTAAGAAATTCCTCCCTGACTCTTCTTTGGACTGCTCATCTGTAACAACACTCTCAGATATTCATTGGTCTGAAAACTCGGTGAGATGATTAATGAAGGATGCTATGTGAATGGACAGTATTGTCGTACAACAAAATTAAATCCATTGCTATAATAAAACAGAAGGATGTGTGAGCTGGTGGTTGATGAGCATTTCTCTGAGCCGTTACTAATCAATTTGTTTCTGTGCTTTGTATCTCTCTAGTGACTTTTAAAATGCTGACTACGATATTATACTAAAACACTGCTAAGGCCCTAAATCTCGGAAAATTAGCAAATATTTTTAATAGTTAACTTTTTTCTTTTCCTGTTGTTAAACCTTACCTGAGGATATTTTTTTCTATTGATTTTTTTTTTTTTTTTTTTTTTGAGTGAGTGGAAGGGAGGGAGGAAGCAGGGGAGAGAGAGACATCGATGTTAGAGAGACCCATCGGTTTGGTCGCCTTCCGCATGCACACTGACCAGGGCCGGGGATTGAACCTGCAACCCAGGTACATACCCTTGACCGGAATCGAACCTGAGACCCTTTGGTGTGAGGGCCAATACTCTAACCACTAAGCAACACCAGCCAGGACAACAGTTAACCTTTTTTTTTAAATTGCTGAAATGCACAGTGGAGTGTGAAATGTCCAAAATTTGCATTTCTGCCTTTTGCGCTCATTAGTACATCCAGTCATTTAAGAGTATTACTGTAACCCTTGGTATACGCTGCGGTCTCCAGGGATGCCATATTGACATAAGCAGTGAGCACACCATGGTCAGGCAGGTTAAACCTGGCGGTATTGACAATATCATCATGAGCCTCATAACATTTCAGTCAACGATGGACCACGTCATAGCACTCCGAGCGCTAGACCAGCACAAGGCCTCACTGACGTGTTGTGGTGTCGCGGGTGTAGACAACCACACTGCTGTGTTATAAAAGTACAGCACATACACTCATGTACAGTCCGTCATGCGTGATAATGACACTAAATGACTGTGCTACTGAGTTATGTATCTCCTCTACGATACTTTTTTTTTTTTTGGTACGTGCCCCTAGCAGGAACCGAACCCAGGACTCTCTGGTCCGCAGGCCGACGCTCCAACTGCTGAGCCAAACTGGCCAGGGCCTCTACCATACTTTTTACTGTTACTTTAGAGTATACTCTTTCTACTTATTAAAACAAGTTTGCTGAGACACAGTCTGCCACGTTATGCTGGAAGCAACCTCACACATCTCTTCTTTACTGTGTGTCGATTGCACCACAGTCTCTTGTGCTTGATGTAATCTCATGCTGTTTGCCCAGTAACATGCTGTACAGGCTTGTAGCCTGGGAGCAGCAGGCTAGACCAGAGAGCCTAGGAGGACAGGATGCCACCCAGGTTTGTGTAAGTACACTGCGATGTTCACACAATGACCGAATCACCTCGTGACACGTTTCTCGGAATGCATCCCTGTTGCTCAGTGGTGCTGATTGCATTCGCTGGGGTATGAATGACCGCACAAAGACTGTGTGTCCCAGTGAGGAGGAAAGAAAATGAAAACAGAACTTGGGTTTTAGGGAAACTCAGACAGGAAACTGGACTGTAAGGAAACAACTTGGATCTAGGAAAGTAAAGACTGAAAGAGGGACAAGAAGGTGGATATTTGAGAGCAGCAGAGTGAGGATGATGATCCAACCACAGAACTCAGACGACAGTATTGACTCAGGCCAAGAGAAGCTGTAGGATGTACAGGAAGCCAAGCAGACTACTTGTAGAAGCCAGCTGCAAGAATAAAGTAATATACCTGAGACGGTTCAATTTTGTCCCTACCCAGAGCTAGTACTAAGAGCAGTGATGGGCAGAACACATCCCGGGAAGGATCAGCAAGCTTAAATTAAGTGTTAGCATAGAGAAGCATGGAGTTTGTATCTTCGAAGTCATAAAAGACTCATCATCGTCAACATTGTTATATTCTAGGCTGTGGGACACTAAGAACCATTCCAACTAGAGTCGTGTGAAGGTCACTTTTCATAGGGATGGGATGGAGAGAATAGTGTTTCTCACGGGGGTTTTGGAAGAAGGAAGGACTCACAGAAGACAAGCTGAGAGAGATGTCGGGCAGAATGCAGCACCTTTGCTTCAGCTGAGAGCCACCGAGGGGAGTTGCCCATAAAGCAGATTGGAGAAGTTAGGGCTAAGCCTTCCCCTCTAAAATGGATCTGAAACGGCATCTAACTCAGCCAGTGCTGAATCCCCACTAAGATATCTGTAGAGACGCACAATGGAAAATGATGAGCTTTTACAAAACACTGGAATCTATTATTAACATAATACTATATATAACATAATTGATGGACCACTGATGCTATTTCATCTAAAAATACAGCAAGCTAGTGAGAAAGAAAGTGATGAGCAGGACCCCTGCTGCTGCCCCAATCTGTCTTTTGTCATGGGTTTGGAAACCCCATAAAGGTTGAGCAGATTCCCAGGCTACCCCAGAGCTCTCCCCAACTCCTCCCTGACCCCCACTCCTGTTCGTACCTCTCTGTCTTTCCAGTCACTGACAGCAAATCCCCGGGGTGGGGGTGGGGGGGTGATGAGTAGGAAATAAGAGAAAGTGGCCACTAGCCACTAAAGTTCAGTAGGCACAGCCCTGGCCAGTTTGGTTCAGCGGTTAGAGCATCGGCCTGCGGTCCTGAGAGACCCGGGTTCGGTTCCCGCTAAGGGCACGTGCCTCGGTTGCAGTTTGTCCCCAACCCTGGTCGGTTGTGTGGGTGGCAGCCACTCGATGTGTTCCTTTCACATCGATGTTTCTCTCTCTCTCTCTGTTCCTCTCTCTCTCCCTCCCACTCTACCTGAACAAAAAATGGAAAAATGTCCTCGGGTGAGGATAAAAAAAAAAAAAAAAAAAGTTTAGTAGGCACAGCCTCTACAATCATTATTATCATTATTTTATTACTTTTTAATGCATCAAAGTGTTGTCCACTCATCCTGTTTCCTTTCCTTTCTCTGTATCTCTTTTTTGCTAGGCATTTGTAGCAACAACAACAACAAAAATGCAAACGTGTGGAAAGGGTTAGTGGGCAGTTTGGGGGAGACAGAGGAACAATGCCTCCAAATTACAAAGTTCCTTTGCAAGGAACAGAACTAGGAACTGTCATCAGTACACACTGGGGATTGCTCAGAGGAGAACATCCCATTCCAATCCAGGAAACGAAACTATGTAAAACCCTGATAGGTTCTAAAAATTCCCTAGGCACTGTGATGACCAGCCTGTTCCATATACATTTTGGTTTTTCTTTTGTCTGTGAGTCTCTCATTGTTAGAATGTGTTAAACATTTTTGAGAATGAATTTTTAAAATGTAAAGAAAAGGGAAAGAAAATCATAAGTAGAAAAAAATAGTTGCAGGAATATTGACTAGCCATCTTAGCAGAGGATAAGAAGGTGTGGTTATGAAACAGGATCAGAAAAGCATAAGATAAAAACTATCATCCTTCAGGGAACATGCTGGGAAGAAAACAATAATGTAGGGAATGATGACATTTGAAGCTGCCGCAGCCAAATTAAATCCACAGAGCCAGCGGAAAGGATTTGAGAAATCATCTCAGGAAAATGGAAGACAAACATGACAAACTTCTCAAATGCTAAACAAAGGTGAAAGAAGTTTAAAATGGTGAGAAAGATGTTAGATATTCGGGGCACAAAGCTGGAAGCTAGCAAATAATTTTAAGTGTTTGGAGGGAAGAACAATTAATGCAAAAGCTTGAAAAAACACCGACAGTGAGAATGTAGGCAGTTTTATCTTTTTCTTTTACACTTAAAATCAGGATAACCTTACACTTCTCTGCAAAAGCCCAGAGAATAACATCTACTGATTTTTGAGAGAAAGAGGCTGTGACCCCACTTTATTATATAGGGTCAGGTTATGATATTTTTATGAATGAAGGGAATGGAAATGACATACTTAAATATGCAGGAGCTCAGAAAATGTCGCCCACAAAACTTTCTTGAAAAGCTACTTGAAGCTATATGCTATCCAACTGAGAAAGTAATTGAAGAATTATATTTATAATAAACAAATTAATAATGTAAAAATGAATCACATTATAATATAAAATTAACATGATGATACATAACAGATTAAGAATGTAAGAATGGGACATTGTCTTGCAAAAGGACTTGGAAACATTTTTCTTGGCTGGGTGGAATGTCCAGCCTGGACAGAGATTTACTCTGAGGCTCTTTCTCAGCTTCTTTGAACCCTAGTCTGATTCAAATCCCTAAAAGCATTTTACTTGCCTCAACCTCCCTCCCACCCCACACTTTCTCGCAAACCCATTTATTTTTTACATTTCATCTACTGTAATCTCAACCACTGTGATAGTACAAGTCTCCTAATGATTTTTCTGCCAGTGGCCTGCCCTCCGTAGACTGCATAGCTCACCTTAGAGACTCACACAATCTGATTGGAAATGTTATCACATGCGGATTTCCAGTAGGCGCTTTCTGGAGATGGCCTTGATATTGAACCTTTTGAGAACTC